TTTGCTGTATGTGCAATAAGGCTTATTGTGCGATGGTCGCTGCATTTTGTAGCTTTTGTCTTTTTCTTTAAGGCAATCATTGTAACTTCTGTAAAGTCCTTGGGCCACTCTCCACTTTCATATATGGTGTTCATTAGTTTTGTCAGTGTTTTCAAACCACCTTCTCCCAGTAACTTGAGCACATCTCCAGGTCAATATGTATATGAGTTTGTCCAGTATAGGTCGAAGCCCGGTGATTATGAACCTTCTAGCTCCAAAAACACAGCCCCTTCATATAGGCACCAAATAAAGGTTATTTCCCGAAAACGGTTCCTAAAAACAACGTTTATTAAAATTGCAGTTATTTAAGGAGACCATCGCCAAGGGGGGGGGGGATCTTCTGGAAAACAACGGTGGGCACAGTCGGGGTCCAAATGTTTACGCAACGGGTACAAGTCCTAGCTTACTGACCAACAATGGTCTACCCAGCAACAATCGATTCCGTTTCCAAGGTAACGTACTCTAGATCAGTTATGCTTCAGAAAGTATTTGCAATGTCTTTGGATAGATTCTTTTAAATTCTGATTTCATCACCAAATATTTGGTGCTAAGTTCTGTTGATTAAGAATACGAGACTTTACTGATGGCCTGCACATGCCAGAGTCTGGGACGATTTCAGTACCGTCGTTTGAGGCTACAGCATCGCTCCGTGCCAAGCCAAGAGTGTGTCCCATTAATGAAAACGCCGTGTTTTAAGTAAAGCGGATCGCCTCCACTGAGAACGTGAGCTGGAAATGGGAGTACACTCGGGCAGACGTCGTCTGCTCAGTTCTGGAGCGCTTCATCCTGAGGAAGCACATTCCAGTGTGCCTTAAAATTTCATGACGGTCGTTCAACGATGCATGCAAGGGCCGATTCACGAACCTGCATTGTAATAATTTCCTTCTGACGTGACGGTAATTACCGCGGGCTTTTCTACTGATCTGGGATATCTACCTAGTCCCGAAAAGCTGGTTTCACCCCTGCTGAGAACCATCGTCACAACAGTCAGCTCCTCTCCACAGCTGAAGTGTTTTATGTTCATCCCGGAAAGCGGAAAAAGAAAAAATTAGATATGTGTAACGTAAAATTTCTTGTCCTTGGCACTAGATGGAGGTGAGTGATGAGTTTCACGCCATGGCCGCTTTATCACCAGGGAAAGGGCCGAGCCATAGCTCAAGCGGTTAATCGCTGGCTTCCCACCGCGGCGGCCCGGGTTCGATCCCGGGTCTGGTGAAGTGGGATTTATGGTGGACAAAGTGGCGCTGGGGCAGGTTTTCTCCGAGTACTTCGGTTTACCCTGCCAATCTGCATTCTACCAATTGCTCCACAATCACCCTCACCTATCATCTGGGGCTGGTACAATAGGCCAGTAGTGGCCGCAGTACAAGGGACTTAGTCCCACCTCACTAGCAATAAAAAATAATAATACCTCCAGGGGAACAGCCTTTTAAGTATATATACAGGATTAAAAGAACTATTTCTTTAAGAGTCTAATGAAATACATCTTTGTACCTATCCAGTAAACATATTTCCATGCAAGGCCACAGAAGGAAAAGAAAAACTGTCAACGCTTATCTGAGGTTTATGTGT